TCATTCCAAATCTAGTGGTGTTGCTTAGTGATGATGGTTTCCGGATACACAGGTTAGTTATGTGGGAGGAGATTGGGTGTAGATTTCTTTTGTCTCTGAAATGGTTTGCACTAGATTTAAATCTGCTAAATTTGTTCGCTCTTACTTCTCTTCTTTTGGACCCGTGGTGAATGGTTTTTTTTTGTTAAAGAACGAGTGATATGGTTAGAAATTTTAGGGTTACCTTGTTGTGCATGGAACGATACTGTGGTTTCTAAGGTAGCAAAATTGTGGTTTCAACATACATCATACGTGTCTGTGTGTGTGTGTATATATATATATATATATATATATATATATATATAGCTTTATATATTTATACAAGTTATAAAACTTGTATCTTAAGCTCATACATGTGCTTGTATACACTACCCTAAGATTTATCAACTGTCGTACATTTTTACGTTTACGCTTATCAAATATACTTGTTGTTTATCCGTTTATTCGTTTCTGCGGTTGTTGAGTACAAGCTTGGCAGATAACTTTATCTGTATATACGTTTATCCGTTTATCCGTTATCTGTACAACTTTGTCACCATAAACTTTAACTAGATTTCATTATCTAGAAACTACAGTTCAGATTCCTGCTTTAGCAAACATTTAAAAACACGGTTTTAATTACAACAAAGACAATACTTTTTTGATCATATTAAAAGTATCATTATTACAAAAAAAACATGTGACTCTCACCAACCTTTGTGTTGGCCCTCAAACTTACATGTATTCTGAAGAGATCATTAGACAAACGTTCAGACAGAAGGTTGGTCATGGATTACAGACGACCTAGCTATCTAGTTTTTGTTATCTGCTTACATGTTTAAAGGAAATTATTATACTATTATTATTTGTAAGAACCTTGTATTCAAACTTAACGATGAAATACAAATGTTGTTTTGTTTATCGTTGTATTTGTGCTATATATTCAGTTTACTTGTGATACATGAACTTAGTCGCACAACCCGGCGTGTTTCGCCGTCTCGGCCGGGGGTGTGACAGTCATGTCCAGAATTCCACCCCGGTATAGGGTTGTGAGCTGCCAATCCCTCAAGAAAATGTTTCAGTTCATCTTTATGTTTCTATTCCAATTCAACAGGTCGTTGATCCTGTCCAGGAGGATTCTCAACAACAGCCGGTTGCAGCTTCTGTTTCGTCAGCTTCCCATACTTTTGCTTCGGTTGTTAATCATTGTGAGGATGTTGATTCTCCTTCTCAACCTCTAGGTTACCGACATTCTTCTCCGGATGATCCAAATAATAATCGTCATTCTGATAAGGTGGCCTTCAAAGCTAGATCTTCTAGCTCTCATGAGTCTTCTAAGCTTCTTAAGAAACGTGTTCCAGTTTCAGTGGATGACATTTCTGATGTGATGGGGCAATATTTCCAGATGGGTAATCTTCCTGGGTATGATATGGATGGAAATAAGGAAAAGGTTCGTCAAATTTTGTCGAGTATTAGTGTGATACAGGTTGATCAATGAACTGTTTATCTTTGAACATTTGTAGCACCCGAACTTTCTCTAAAAGAAGTTGGGTACATCCTTGTGTATTTAGAATGGGTTGTCGTACATGGGGATTCAAGAGACCAGAATGACTTAAGTGGACGTGTTTAAGATTCGTAGCATGTGGGGTATTACTTGTTTGATTTTGCGAGTAGTTGTGCTCGTGGGCGTTCGGGTGGGATTCTTTCTATCTGGGATCCTAATGTTTTTGTAAAAGATAGTGTGGAGTGTACTAATAATGTAGTTATTGTTGGTGGAGTGTAGATTCCATTCAATATTCACTGTTATATGGTCAATGTTTACGCTCCTCAATATTTAGTTGGGAAACAACAAGTGTGGGATTATTTGAAGTCATTCGTTCGAAGTAGTGGTGGTAATTAGATTGTTTTTGGTGATTTTAATGTTGTTAGAGACTATTAAGAAAGATATGGTTTTGTTTTTTGTCACACTTCAACGGATGCATTTAATGATTTTATTGATGAGTTAGAGTTAGTTGATTTGCCGGTGATAGGAAAAAGATTTACTCGGGTGGATTCGCTGGGTGCTAAGTTAAGTAAACTTGACAGATTTTTAGTCTCAGAAGAGATGTATGACCGATTTGAGCAATTGCAGGTTCAAGTCCTTGATAGAAAATGGTCTCACCATTGCCCTATTCTTTTACATGACCTTGTTGTAGATTATGGCCCAATTTCTTTTAAAAATTTTAACTCTTGGCTCCAAATGGATGGGTTTGATGATATGGTCAGAGGTGGGTTTGATGATATGGTCAGAGGTGAAGTGGATGCTTTTGTAGTAAAGTCGGGGTGGAGTAAGTTTGTTCTTTTTTAAAACAAACTTAAGTTTATTAAGTCTAGAATTCAAAATTGGCATTTGGAGGCTAAAAGGAAATCTAAAGATGATAATCTTCGTCTTCTCCAAAGATTGAATTCGATTGATACCATTATTAATGAGGGCGATTCTTCCGAGGGTATTATTTCTGAAAGGCAAAAAATTTTAAGAGAGGTGGCGAATTTAGAAAAAAATCGTGCTTTAGATGTTACTCAAAAGTCTAAAGTTACCTGGTCGGTTGAGGGTGATGAGAATTCCAGACTTTTTCATGCTAGTTTAAAGAAAAGAAGGCGTCAAATGTTGATTCGTGGCATTTCTTTGGACGGGGAATGGGTGAATGATCCAAAGATAGTCAAGAAAGCTTTTTTTGATTTTTATGCAACAAAGTTTCAAACATTTCAGGGCATTCCAATTCTAAATAGAAGTTATATATTTAAATATCTTTATACGTCGATGGCTTCGGCTCTTCAGGTTTCGTTCTCGGTAGGTGAGATTAAAAATGCGGTGTGTGATTGTGGTCGTGACCGGGCTCCAGGTCCGGACGCATTCTCTTTCAGGTTTCTTAGACACTTGTGGGATATTTTTAGTGCCGACGTTATTGCCTTTGTTGAAGAATTTTACGCCAAGCCCTTATTTCTCGTGGGTTGTAATTATTCTTTAATTACTCTTATCCCGAAGGTTGACAATCCTATTTTTATTAAAGACTGTCGACCTATCAGTCTTATTGGTATACAGTTTAAAATTATTGCTAAACTTTTAGCTAATAGATTAGCTCCGTTTCTTAATGATGTAATCGGTTTTGAACAGTCGACTTTTCTTAAAGGATGCAAAATTGTAGATGGCCCGTTATTGGTCAATGAGTTAGTGGGTTGGTTTAAAAGGAAACAAAAGAAACTTTTGATTTTCAAGGTCGATTTTTATAAGGCTTATGATTCCATAAGTTGGGTTTATATGGATCAAATTCTTAATTTTATGGGTTCGGGAATAAATTGAGGTCTTGGAATAGTGGTATTTTTTCAAATGCTAGATCTTCGGTTCTTCTAAATGGGAATCCTATCGACAAATTTCAGTTGTTTTGAGGGTTACGTCAAGGCAATCCCATTTTTCTGTTCTTATTTATTATTGCCATAGAAGGTCTTCACGTGGCAATGGAAGATGTTGTGGCAGCTGGAATTTTGTAACATTCGAGAATAAATTGGTATGTTTCCTTTAACCCTTTTATTGTAAAAACTTTGCACTTTGGTCCCTAGCTTAGTATGCGGGGTGTACCCTATGTATGGTATGTGGTATTTTGGGGAACTCACTAAGCTTTGTGCTTATGGTTTTTAGTTTATGTTTTTAGGTACTTCTGACTCTCCCCTGCGACGTACGTTGTCGCTGCTGCTGCCCTTCCTTCTTCTGTCGGCGATCGGTCATCGGCGGTGGGTGTTTTCCGGTGAAATCTCATGGTGGCCGGTGGTGGGTGATTATTGATCAAAGTGGTGGTACAATCAAAGCGGTGGGTATTTTAGTACTATATATTTTTCAAAAAAAATTTGTTTATATTGCCTTTAAACCCCCAAAAATAATTTGGGCTACCTTATTATTATTATTTTTTTATGTTTTTTCTAAATGATAAATATTAAGCCCAATTGTCAAGTGCCCAACATTAAATTAGTTTAATTTAACAATTAACACAAAATTTAGCCCAATACAAAATAAAAATCGGAAAAAAGAAATCAATCGACGATTCGATGCTGACTTCCGACTTCGCTTCCAACTCTCCCCTGCGACGTACGTTGTCGCTGCTGCTGCCCTTCCTTCTTCTGTCGGCGATCGGTCAGCGGCGGTGGTTGTTTTCCGGCGGTGAAATCTCATGGTGGCCGGTGGTGGGTGATTATTGATCAAAGTGGTGGTACAATGAAGGTATGTGTATTTATGTATATTACACGATTTTTTTTTCGGGATATCCCTTTACTAAAACCCTAGCTCCGCCACTGACATAAGTGATGGTTCATCATTATCGAGCAATTATGCATGAACTTTGTGTGAATTGGAAGTAGTTTATACAAGTTATAACAATCAGTGATTTTAACAAATTATCGATTCTAGCAACATACATTGAAAAGTTGGTGATGGATTTGGTATATATATATATATATATATATATATATATATATATATATATATATATATATATATATATATATATGTGTGTGTGTGTGTGTTTTTAATGTGATTTTTGGAAAGCTTGAATTTCAACCCAAACATTCTTTCAATTTATGTTAATGATTACATAACTTTCCATTTGAGTTTATTTGTTTCCTTGTTGAATTTGGATTTAAAGGTTGAATTGTTTGAAAGAAAATTTTGAGGGGATATCGTGTTGTATGTAATGATGGAGAAGGAGTACAAATTGATCATCAACAGCTCGGTTGCAAGTTCGTTGTCATTTATGTGTCAAAATTCAATGTCAAATATGTTGTTTTTTAACTTTGAAATCCTTATAAAAAAATGATGTTATTTTTTTAAATGTATCTCAAAAAGATCATTATAAATTATTGAAGATAAATTTTGATTTTTGTTAATTTTGATTTTGTATGGTGTATATTTTTTTAAAATTTCTTCAACAAAAAATAATACAAAAGCATAAATTGGTCATTTTTATAGCCCAACACATCAATCAGTCTTTCCAATTCAAAATCGAAAATACAACTTTATTTATAAAAGTCAAACACAACATAGATCGAGTACATCCAAAGTAAAACAACAAATGGGCTTTGATACCTCAAACTTCTACACATCAAGTCCAAGCCTCTTCCTCATCTGCTGAACGAAGGCAAGGACCTTTAGCGACTCAGGAAGAACATTAGACACACTCCCCTTGTTCTGAAAGCACCTTTTAGCCCAACCAATCAGTATTGGGCAGTCTTGTTCAACGTTCAATTCCCCATATGTTTCATACGCATGAAGCCATGCATAAAACGGGATCAAAGCCGCATCAACGTAGCCGAAACTGTCACCACCAAAGTAAGGTTTGTCTCCAAGCTCTCCTTCAATTAGTTTAAGGGAATCTATGAACTCTTTCCTGGATGCCTCATGTTCTTCCGCTTTTGCTGTGTACAACAATATCCTCCCATTGTGGTACACCTGCGCGCATATCCATACACAAAGTCAGACAAAAGGTTCGATAAGCTAATTAGGCCATCCATCGTATGTATGGTAGAATTACAAAGTATTCCACAATTACAATCCAAAAGTGTTTTTTTTTTCGCTTGCATTTTCACAAAGAGTTTCAAATGACTTGAGACAACCAAAATGGAAATTTTTTGCAAAAATCAAGAAAAATCAAACGTCAACTTAAACTGCGCGAAGTAAATAGAATAGTAATAGTATATCAAAAGAAAATGAAGAAAAGATGAGAGTTACCTTCTTGTCAATAAAATCGACCCAAAACCTGGCACGAGCTTTGCCGTAGGTGTCAGAAGGAAACAATGGAGCTGTATCTTTCCACTCTTCATCAATATACTCAACGATGATGCTGGACTCGCAGATCGGTTTGCCATTGTGAAGGAGGACCGGAATTTTCTTGTGAATTGGGTTCATCTCCTCGAGAAGCTGACTCTTGTTCCTCAAATTCTCTTCTCTGTACTCATATGAAACACCTTTTTCAGCAAGGGCTATCCTGACCCTCATTCCATACATGCTTGCCCAGAAATCCAGTAGAATCACTTCTTCTTGTTTCACCATTGTTGGGTTCTTGGGTTTTTGGTGATATTAAGTTATTCACTAATTGGTTTGTGTTTGTGTGGATGGAAGTGCGTAAATATATAATGTTGGATACATGGGTTCAGCCGTTCAGGTCATTCAAATATATAATATTAATTGTTATTATATTATAAGTGAAAGATGATTTGAGTTTGATTTGTGAGGCGCAAGAGATAATGACATCAGGGATGATTTCATCAAAAGTCACTGCTTCAATATTCTAGCTGTACTCATTTACGATTTTGGAAAAAAAAAAAAATTTGTATTGTCCATAGCTTTTGATTGTTTAATTGAGTTCTTCACTAACTTTACTCAGTAATTTACTAAATAAAATTGAATTGTATCATCGTCCGATCATAATTTTTAAATTGTAGCAAGATATCCATAAATGACGCTACATAATATTTACAAACCACGGATAAAATAGGTAGATTTCTTTTTGTCAAGTAGAACCCAGCTACATATTTGTGAGAATATTTTAATTTTCACATGATTAATTTAAGGTCCCTTAATTAAATTTTTTTTTTGGAAACCGACAATATATTGAAAAAAAAACCAGACAAACACCCCTTAATTTAAATTAGTTTCAACTATCACACATCAAATTTAATCATTAAGCATGTGTGAGAATTAATTATTTAACTTTCACCAACCAATCTTTTTCTTTGTCTTTCGCCAAATATAATATAATTCTAAACTAATTTTAAATCCACTTATGTCTCAAATGATAATAATTGAACCTTTAACATCAAGAATAGAAGGCAACATCTGATACGACCCTTTGATAAATGTTTGTCTTTGTCAAGTTGCGAAAGTTATATATTCAACTATTTAAGATTCAAGTTGTGAAGTTATATATCCCACTTAGGACATATGTGAAATTAAGTTGTATAACGTCTTATTTTTCATCCCTATTTTTAAAATAGGATTTAATCTATCATGGTTTATGACTTTTTTTATAATTTTTTTATTTATGATAATCATAGCATCCTACTTTTTAATTATATTCTAGTTTTTACTTCCATATTGTATGTTTCACTTTTAGTGTCATTACAACAATGTAGTTTCATTTATGTGCTAATTCTAAATTATACTTTGTTATCCCATGTCGACTAAAGTCTGATTCTATTACTAGAATAACGTGCTTTAAAAAATATATGTAATTTGCTTGACTTTAAATGACAGTGTTGAAATTGAATTTGTTTTTCAAACAATATGTCTTCTACAACATTCTAATTGTTCATATATATATAAGTTTTTTTTTTTTTTGTATTTTACTCTTCTTTATAGTAGACAAATTAATGTACCTATGTTGATATTTCTTGTGTAACAAACACATTTATAAATTGTAACCCTGTTAAATTGATATTCATGATCATAAGATTCTACGAGAACATTTTAACTTTTTATAGAACTCAATGAATTTTTTGGACAAGCTCTTAAGGTACTTTATATGGGGTTATGGTCTTGTACCAAATACACAATAGACATCTTATTTTTAAAAATTTTAACATTTTAAATTTATTGTTGTTCCAAAAAGAATTATTGTGCATTATAACATCATACTTTAAGTATTCTTCCTATTTAATTTGAGACGGCAATTTACATTGCAAAATAATAAAAATCAATGCTTGCTGTTAAAGGTATGAAATTTTTATTTACCAAATGTCTTTTATAAAAGATCACATGTTTTAAAAATATTTCCTTCTAATATTACTTTAGACATATTTTCATTATTGGACCCTCGATTTATTTGTTTCTAAATTTACCATAGGCTAATATTTTTAGTTTTTAGCTTGGTGATTAAGGAAACATTTGCCTTCACATTCGTTAAAAACGACTATACGTCTCAAATTATTTTGTGAAGTGAACCAAGAAACATCAAAATAAAATTCATTAATACATTAGAATATATGCACTCCCTTTTTTTAAAGGGGAAATGACATATTAGCCCTACAATATATTATACATTTGCATTGTTGCACATTCAGTCTCTTCAATTATTTTCGTGTTTATGAGAGAACAAAGGTCCCTATAACCTACCATCATCAGTTTCATGTACCAGATTACTTTTACTTAATTAAAAAAGTTAAATTAAATCCACCTCACCTCTTGTCCATGTCTCCCTCCCTCTCTCTCTCTCACACACACATACACATACACAACTAGGTAAGATTCCTTTTCATTTGCCAATGGCAAATTGCAGGTTATTTCCATTTCTGATATTGATGTTGCTTAGCTTTTAAAGCCTTTTAACAACACATGAAGATCCTACTTACAAGGACATACAGGTGGGAGTGATTCTTGACATGGTATCAGGAGGGGTAGGGAAAGTCATTTATCTGGGAGTGATTCTTGACATGGTATCAGGAGGGGTAGGGAAAGTCATTTATCATTGCATTACCATGGATACATTCAGTGGTGGAGCCTCTTGAGGGCTAGGGGGCGAGGCCATGACCCCCCTGATTTTTGCCATGCTTAATACCAGATTCTGTAATATAAAATTGGTTTTATTTATTGTCTAATTCCTGGCCCCTCACCTTTAGTTATAGAAATAACTAATCAACTATAAAAAAACAAAAATATACATCTTATTTGATTTGATTATTTCATAGGAAATGTAAAGATTAGGAAAGTAATAAATAATTAACAAGAATCCAAAAAATTACGGGATACATCCAAATGAACTCTAACGAAATTAAGATTTTTATAGATTAAGAAACAAAATTTCTATAAAAACTCATTCTAATATTCAATCTATTAACTCAATATTTAGAAAATACAAACCCTAGATCAATCTTCCGGAAAAACAAAACTTCTCACCGGAAAACATAATACATCCGTGGGACTTCTCACCAGAAGATATTGTTGTTGCGTGTTGCCTCCGCCGGAGTAATCACCACTCCACATCTCTTCGGTCCGCCATTATTGACCGATGTGGCTCTGTCTCTCTAGTCTACTGTTTCAATAGTCTGCAATTCCGACGAATAACTTCCGAAAGTCAGTTACTTCCTGTGTCTCTATTTCGCCTTCCGCCGAACTGCAACTCCGAACAGCGACTCATTGGTGTTCATTGCTCTACTCAACCAGATTTGTAAGGTAAGTCTTCATCTCTCTTTTTCTCTTACTAAAAGTATAGAACTCTTTTAAATGTTAAAAGATATATATTACCCTGACAAGTATTAAAAGATACACCAATTTTAATATTATTTAATTTATTAGTTTCTAAATATTTTAATCTGATTTAATGTATAAGAAAACTTATAAAAGTTACAGAAAAACTCAATTAGTAACTTATAATAATTTAATATATAGTAACGATATGGTAACTTTTTAATTTTTAGTATTTATTGATTGTTAAAATGTTAGTAAATTTTACAATCTGTTAATTACCTTAAATGTATAATTACAAACTGTATAAATAATATTAAAGTCAATGTAATTAGTGTGGTCAAAATGCAATTGTAAATTGTTATTTTGTTAACTATTAATAAATTATATTATGTAGTCTACATCAAAATAGAATAACAAAATTGATGAAAGAAAATACATGAATAGACACCACCTTTTTGAATGCTTGTGCCTAGTGTTCATAAAATTTAACCAAATAAAAATTTGTTTGTATGTTATTGTTTTAACATTTTGGGTTTGGCCCCCTTGGTTATAAAGCTCGAGTTCCGCCCCTGGATGCATCTGAATTTTACAATGCCAATCCTCGCCAAAATACCAATATCACACTGATAATACCATATCCGTAATAATCAATCAATCAACATGCATACTGGGCCATCGGCCTGACTGGACCGCCCTACAGGGCCTATAGTCCAACTGGATCTATACAGAGCCTTCGGCATGACTGGACCGCCACGTGGGCCTACAGTCTTCCCGGACCGCTCTTAGGGTGTGTTGGCCTTCAGCACAAAGCAGGACCGCCTCAACCCAAGCAACAAGCAAATAACCGTGTGCGCATAACTAACATTTACTGGCATATACAAAACATCGAACATATATATCTCACTGATTACCAAACATAGCAATCTCTCATAACTAGAGCACTGACCTAGCATGTCACTAACATATCAATCCCTGCGGATCATAAGAGCATAACATACCGTTTATCCTGATTCTGATCTAACAGATCATATCCACATGTAGCATACCATAACGATAACAACTAAAGGGGCCGACCTTGGTGCCGTAGACCCTATCGATATAGTGAGGATAACTCACCTTGCAGATGTCGACTTGGTAGATAAACTTCAACCCTCGGATCACTGCCACAAACTCCACCACCTATTACCATAGCATAATCAAACCCATAAGTTCCCAACCCTTCAAGGTACCCCTTAAGCCAACTAATCATACCCTGATCAAAGTCAAAGTCATCAGTCAAGGTCAACAGTCCATGTTGACCTTAACTCGCCGAGTACCCTCAGCTACTCGCCGAGTTCCTTGAAGTTCTTTCCCACTCGCCGAGTCACCGGGGTGACTCGCCGAGCTTCTACGGTTTTCGATCGAACCCTAAAGCCAACCGACGAGTTTCCTACTTGCAACACGACGGATACACACACATTCATAACTTGGGGAAAACTCATCCGACTCGCCGAGTTGTTCATACAACCCGTCGAGTCTATGGCAATCTTCATCGGACTCGCCGAGTTACTCATCCAACTCGTCGAGTTCAAGGCCATCTTCATACGACTCGTCGAGTCAACCTTGCGACTCGCCGAGTTCCTTCAGTCCTTAAGCCATACAGACTCATTTAAGCCATGCAATGGCTCCAAATTACAGATCTAAGCTTCTAAAGCATGCTTTTCACGTAAAGTTGCAAACTTTACGTGTATGCATGACTAAAAAGGCTCTTAATGGCAATTCCAAGCTCTTAATGGGGTTTCATGCACAAGGAGGGCCTCAAACACCCCCAAACCCGCAACTTTATGACTCTAGGACTTAGGAAGGGTCCAGATCTGAAGTTACAACTTCAGATCTAGCCCATAGCTCACCATATTAACTCAAAATCCATAAAACCCTAAAACTCAACCAAAGAAAA